TTATTGTAACAAGGATTTAATCCTGGGGCCCTTAACCACTGAACCATATCCCCATCCTTTCTTATTTTTTATTTTGAGTCACTGTCTTGTTAAGTTGCTGAGGCTGGCTTTGAACTTGCAATCCTCCTGCCTCAGTCAATGGAGCACCAGGATTACAGGCGTGGGCCACCACCATCAGTTGTCACCATCTCTTAAACTGGGGTTTCCCAAAGCCTGAGATGATCAATACAACTGCACTTAACACTTGGGTACCGGAATGGGGAGGATCATCCATTTCAGGTCTCTGTCAAACCTTCAGATTACATCAAAAGAGAAAGTTTCCGTTTGGTGCTAATATGCCTTTAACACCTTTCTCACACGTGCTAATTTTCTCTGTTTCAAAGTGAAAAAAAGCATGAGGGTTTGATCACTTAGCAGGCGACAGTGTCTGACTAGAGTTTATTCATACTGTTTTCTTCAAATTTATTTTTATAGCTACCATTCTGCTGTAGGCATGCAATAGTGATTTTCAACGTAGAATTGCATTAAGAAAGTGTTGCTTCAATTTTTAATTTTTAAGTTAAATTTTAATTTTTAAATTTTTAACTATGGTGATTTGATTCAAAGAAAAGGCTGCATATAAGTGCAAATGAGATGTGAATATTTTCCTAAAGTTGGCGTTCCAATGCAGAAGTCTGGGAAACCCTGTCTTAAACAAGGATGCTGTGTGAGGATGCATGTCATTAAAAACGCACAGCGGCTTTTGCCTGCCTCACAGGAGAGCAGGGTTGTGCAGTGCTCCGTGGGCCTTGGACAAGTTGGTTTTATTTGCAAGCCTTCTGCATTAAGAGGCAGGGCTAAGTGTGAGAGCTTCTGATGGGTGCTGTCAGCTTAGCCTTTCTCTCTTGACCTTTGTCTCCTGCTAGATGAATTTAAGTCATTTATGAAGCGTCTCCCCAGCAACCACTTCCTGACCATCGGTAGTATCCACCAGCACTGGGGCAACGACTGGGACCTGCAGAACCGCTACAAGCTCCTGCAGAGTGCCACGGAGGCTCAGAGGCAAAAGATCCAACGCACTGCCCGCAAGCTCTTCGGTCTCAGTGTACGCTGCCGCCACAACCCCAACCACCAGCTGCCTAGAGAGAGGTATGTGCTGCCACCACCTCGGCTCTGCAGGCACCAGTCGGTCACCTGGTGTTTCTTAGATCATGTCCACTTATTACAGAGGGAAATGCAATGGAGATGGTGCATCTGGGGTGGTAAGCAAGGCCCCGTACTGTTCAGATCAGCAATGCCTTGTGACTGCCTCTGGCTTCTCACCTACTGGCTCTGGCCACATTGGATTTCACCTGGGTTCCTGAACATACAATGAACTCTCTCTGTATCAACCTGTTCTGCATCCACAAATTCTACTAAACCTGAATTGAAAATATTTGGGGGCGGGGGCGGGAATTGCATCTGTACCACTGAGCAATGTTAAGACTTCTGCTCTTGTCATTAGTCCCTAAACAATACAGTACCATGGCGATTTACATAGCATTTACATTGTATTATGAATTACAAGTAATCCAGAGATGACTGAAAGTATTCAGGAAGATATGCATAGGTTATATGCAAACATCACTCCCTTTTACATAAGGCATTTGAGCATCCACAGATTTTGCTATCCATGGCAGTCTTAGAATCAGTCCCCCAGAGCTTCCAAAGGAAATTGCACCATGAGCTTCCAGCCTTGGGTTTCTTTCTGATCTGTCTGACTGAGGAAGAGAAGTAACACTAGCCCTAACCGCTATGTGGCCTTCTTCTGGTGGCTTAAAATGTAGTATCTACTTAACTTTAAAATTACTTGGCAAAGTAGACTTTAACATCCCCATCTTAATGGTAAATGTATTGGGTTAGCTGACGAGTCAGTCAACTCAACTTTTGAGGGCTTTTGACCAGAGCCTGGAGTGAAATGAGATGGATGGGGCACTTATAGCCAATCATTTAAGACGGCCCTCACTGGCCAGGTCCMTGAGTGGGCCCTCACCTGACAGCACGTGCCTCCTTACGAGTCTCACTGCCCCACTTGACTCTCAGAGGCCCAGCCTGCCCTGAATGGACCCGCTTTTTCTGATGGATGGTGGGAAATAGAGACGGACAGGGTGCATGCCTTCCCAGAGTCAGGGCTTCCTGTCCTCTCAGGCACAAACAGGAAAGGAACCAGGATGAAAATCTGGGTCCTTCAGACCATTATTCTAGGGAATTTTGGGCTTGCTGCTGGGAATTGTTGGTAGTGGTGACTCCAGGGTTTCTATGAGGACATTGCAGGACAGCAAGTAGTTAGGGTTGGTGGTTTACCACCCTAATTCATCTGGAACAGCTCTGCTTCTGTTCATTTCAGAGCTGAGAGTTTTGCTTTCGATTTATTTTAAAAAGAAATCCACTGGTTAAAAGAAATGAGCCAAGTCAAACTCACTTTTCAGGCTCTGGCAGCCATAATTGTGTGTGTGTGTGTGTGTGTGTGTGTGTGTGTGTGTGTGTGTGTGTGTTATATAAATTTGATGCCCTCTTGTACAGTCCAGGAAACTGAAGTTCAAAACTAGAAGAGAACAAATAATTGTTCCAAAGCTACAGTGTAAATTGGTGGCTCTCAAATAAGAGTGATTTTGTCCCCTGGGGACATTTGGACATGCCTGAAGACATGCTTGATTTCTATAACAGGGAGTGGGTGCAGTTGTACAGGGAGTTCTCCAGAACAAAGAAGTAGCTAGCTTCAAACGACAGTGATGATGAGTTTAGTAAACCTCATGTGAAGGGAAGAGACAGGATGCCACCTACATCTTATCCCCTCAACACCTGCTCTGCTGGCACTCAGGATTTAACCCCTTCTGGGTTCTTTTAGGTAGACCCTCCAACCTAACCATCCTGTCCATGCACCTAGTTTCTTTCATCCCCCATGAAGTCTTTTACAATTGCATCAGACCATACAGAAGGCTTCTTCTTCTAAGCTCCCATTTACGTAAAACCACTTTTCTTGGTGTATTTCTCTCTCTTTTCCCCTTTATGAAATGGACTCTCTATGCCCTTGAATGAACTCATTTCTGATTTCTTCAATCCATCCAACTGTGAGCCCATTGGCTTTGTACCTCATTTGCAGTAATTATTTTGTGAATCAAGTAGATTTTGTCTGCCAGTCTCTTACTTATTAGAGTGCTGCTGGACCTGGGACCTGGGACTAACACTTGCAAAATGGCTTCCTTGTCACATGCAGTAGATGCCATCACTGCCACCATGAATATGTTTCTGAAGCAGCCTTCTCTTAGATCCATCAGTCATCTGCCACATGAGCAGCATGAGGCACTGTGGGGACCCAGAAATGAACATGGTGGGGTGTGTGAAGGGTTTTGTCGGTCATCTATGTTTCAGTTCATATGAGCTAACATAACTCTACAGCATAGACTGGGTGGCTTAAAGAGCAGAAATTTCTTATCACAATTTTGACAGCCAGAAGTCTGAGAGCAAGGTATCGGCAAGTTGATTTCTTCTGAGGCCTTTCTCTTTGGCTTGCGGATGTCAGTCTTCTTCCTGGGTTTTCATGGTCTTCCCGCTGAATACATCTGGGTCCTAACTCCCTAAAAGGACACTAGTCATATTGGATTAGGACTCAACCCTTTTAACTTCATTTACTACTTTAAAAACTCTGTCTCCAAATGCGGTCATGTTTTGAATTACTGGGAGTTCAACATTGGAACTGGGGAGGGGTGGTAATTCAGTCCATAACACCCTAAAGGGTAGATTGGGGTTGAATCCTTAGGTCAAGAAACTGTGCATCCTAAGGACTGATCATGCTGGATGCAAATCTTGTAGAGGAGAGTCACATTGAGCTATTACAGGCTTCAAACAGGTGCATCTGTCTTTTGTTAATTGTCCTCTCAGAGAAGGGAATGCAGGGTCTAAGTCCAAAGGCACTGAGCAGGCACTTATGTTAGTGAACAAGAAGAATCTCCAGAGCTTGGCATCACTGAGCATGCCAGCTATGGAGAAGACTCTGGAAGATTCCTGAAGGAGATACCTGGACGGCATTAGAGGGGACAGAATGGGGTACCGGGAAAAACACCCAGGCAGAATCATGGAGCCCCATTTTGAGATTATGCTCTACCATGAGTAAGCTGTGTGACCCTTGACAAGTCACTTTGCTCTTCTGAGCAAGGTGTCCACTTTTGTGAATAAGTCTCTTCTCCCCCTGTGCAAGTTGTGAATAGCTAGAAATGTGCTGTGACCTCTGGGAACTTTAAAGAAAGAACTCTCTCAGTGATTCCCTCATTCTCCTAAGAGGAGAGAGCGTGCCCCAGTCCTCACATCCTCCCTGCATTCACCTGGAAAGCAGGCYTAGAATGCCACCACAGGAAAGTCACTCAATTATATTCATTTAAAGAGCACTGAATGTTGCTGCTACGGGAGTGGGAACACATGGAAACTGGGCTCTGAAGGCTTCCCAGGACAGCTGAGCTTCCTTGGCCTGGCTGTGGGCTGCTTCCTGACATCTGAATCTGAGGCTCTAATGAGCATTTCTCACACGACAGGGCACCTATCTGCCATGGAGCAGTGTCAGACAGAGGTGCTAACTCTGGGAACCTTGGACCACCTCTAGCTGAGCGAGTTTGTATTTGCAAATGAACTGATTGCTCAGCTCCAATTTGTCTGCTTGTTGAACTCTGTAGGAGACAGAGTGCTCTGAGCGGGTGCCATTACTGCAACAGGTGCCAAGGAGATTTTTACTTGTCTCACAGAGGGGTGGCATTTGCAGCAGGATGGGAGCAGGAAGGAGTGGAGGGCATGAGCTGCACATTGATGGGTAGAAATCCTGCCTGCATCCTGTCACTTACCAGCCATAGGGCTTTATGTAAGTGCCTGTACCTCGTTTGCTAAACCGGATAATGACTTGCCTTCAGGTTTAGTATGAGGATTAAGATTTTAAAAATTAAAGATCCTAGTAAAGTAYCTGACACAGTGAAAAGGGAAGAAGAAAGAGAGAGAGAAAGGAAGAGGGGAAGGTGAATCTTAGTATATATGTTCTGAATGCCAAGCATTTTACATGAATTAAACAAGTCCTTTCTCTTACTGTAGATGATAGCCCTATTAATGAGGTGCTTTTGCTATTTTTTCCACCATATATGGTTGGCCAAAAGCCTAGCCCAGGTGGAATATCTGAATGCTGGGAGATGCAATTCATTGCAGGAGCTGGGGCTGGGGAGTTCTTTTTTTTTTTTCTTTTTCTTTTCTTTTTTGAGATTAAGTACTATAGGAGAAACTGAGTACAYTGGATATGGAGATGACTATACCAGATAGAGGGCAACTAAGATAAATAATACTATCACAAACCAATGCTAAKAGCAACTGTCTTTACAGGTAATTGATCTGGCTGGGTGTAAAGATTTTGGAGTGGGACTGGCAGATTTCATAGCCCAGCTCTGTCCGCTGACATGGTTATTCTGGGAGAAGTCACTAACAATCCTTGGGTCCCCATTTCCTCATCTGTAAAATGGGGCTGATAATCGTGCCCATGTCATAGGGTTGTATTGAGGATTAAATATCCACACCAACATCAAGTGCTCCCAATGGTGGCTGCCACGTGGAAACACTCAGTACATGATAGCTACTCCTCACTGTTTCTTATCCACACACTGACATTTGCATATAAATTTCTGATCACAGGGACTGACTGTTCAGGATCATGGCATATATGTTTTTTTCATCTGATCCTCACTCTATCACCATGAACTAGATGCTCTTGGACCYATTTTATAGAAGAAGGAACTGATAGGCAGAGATGTCATTAGCTTATCCAGGGTCACACAGGATCAGACTGATCTTACTGATTTTGCCAGTGGGCTCCTTGTCAAGATCCCTGTGCAGAGAAGCAAGAGCTCCTGTTTTCTAAACAGTGTGCAGCTGCAAAGAGAGGTTCTGTGCTGTGATTAGGGCCTCTGGTGTGGCCAAAGGCAGGGCAAGCTCACCAAGGCTGGGCAGGTGTAGACTAGGATTGAAGGAGTGTGATGTGCTGAGATTCAGGAAACAGGTCTGGGATGAGCCTGACTCACCTGCAATTGCAAAGCCTTGAATCACGTTCGATCCAAGCAGATTCCCAAGTGGACACATTTCCT